ATCGCGTGAATAAGAATAGCAACGTGCACCTTTTAAATCAGGTAAAAATGAAAATCGATGTTTGATAGTAAAATGCAGCGACGTCTGAATTATGAAAATATGAACTATCGAACAAACGGGTAAAAACGAGAAATATCTTATTTTTTTGCTCATAAAAGCTAAGAGCTAAAATAAGTAGATATGCAGAAGGGTTGATGGCAGTTACGTAGTTTGAATTTTCTATATCTTTTGATATATTATATCTATATATCAAATCGGAAATAAATATAATTATTTTATTTCAACTGCTGAATTTTCAGAAAAAGCGGAATATTTATATAAAAAAAAAATTCTAAGAAAATCGGAGTTTTTGATAAAAAAAAAAAAAGGCTGAAATTCGTGAGACAAAAGCGAAAAAGCGGAAAAATCTCATCCCTGTATATTACATAATGAGGGACGCGATAGCCTGGTTGGTAGGGCACTGAGCCCATGTCCAAGAGGTAGTGAGTTCGATCCTCACCGGCCTAAGACTCCACGTGTAGTAAATGGTGACTGATGCACGTTAAATCTGTCGAGTCTCACAATCCTCCCTGTTCCCATAATGAATCATTCTTCTGGGGGTACTGATTCAGGCGTTTCAATGTCTTATGGACTGGGTTCAAAATTACAAGGCTACAGAGTTGAACATTAGTAGTCGGTAAACCCAAAATTGGCTAGGCGGTTCAACGACGGTTATGAAATATGTTACAGGCTAGTTTTAGGCATTATATAGAATGCCAGATTTCAAAGTTGACCAGTAACATATACAAATCTGCTATACATTATCTGCTACATTTTAGATTTTGAAATTCATTACTAATTCAAAGAACTTTTCATGACTTAACTCAGTTACTATTTTCTCCCGACAAAAACACAACAATAAATTTAAAAAAGCATTATAATAACATGAATTGAAATGATAGGTATAATCAAAAATGTTATACTCTGAATCTTCATATTAATAGATTTTAAAAACAGAAGAAATAAAGAGTTAAAGTGATAAAATAGCTGGGAAAAATACAAAAGCAAAAAAAAAAATTTTTTTTTTCATTCTTTCTGCAGAATTACAGGACAAAAATACTTTTCTTGTTCATCGGAAAGGAAAGAAATACTACTGATTTTTCTGTTCTCATTTCAGAATAAAAAATTTCGCCAATGACTGGCTTGTTTCAGCTAGAATTAATTGATAAAATAAAAAATAACAAAAATTCTGAAATCACAGAAGTTTATGCCGTTTTTTCTTCCATTTTTGAAAGGACACCATAACTTTTAAAGAACATGATAAAAGCATTTTATATTTTTAATAAAATATGACTGTGAGTAGGGCTTTTGTTACAAATTCGGATATTCGGAACACCACGAAATTTGGGGGGGGGGGATAAATCCCATTTTAAAAATTTGATTTTTTGGCAACCTAAATCCATGACTTTCCAGGAGCGCGGATACCCTGCATATATATTTTTAAAAACAAATCAATCGAAACTTGTGTTATAAATCAATCGAAACAAAAAATGAGTTATAAATAAAAAAAGATAAAAATCTGATTTATAACAAATCAATAAAAAAATCAGTTACAAAGAATAAATTAAGTTATTCAAAGAACCCTTTTTAATGAATTTCTTTTCAATGATGAAGAGGGTACATTATTGCAAAATAGACAAATGCATTATAAATTATGTTCTGTAGTAATATGGTAGCCACAGAAATCTGGAGAAAAAAAAATCCCTGTACACATTATATTAAGAGAAAAACGCAATCACTGAGCTCTTGTGTAAGCTGTAGAGGGCTAACTATACTAGTAATAATTGCTGGAAAAACTTGGGAGAAAAAAAAAGAAATAGCTAAACATACTTATAATGATACAGGGTGCGTAGCCTATTCAACAAAACTAAGCACCTTTTAGGTACTTTTCAAGCACTCAAAAAATATTATTAAACACTTGAAAAAAATATCATAATTTGGCAAGGTTGGAAATTTTTTAGAGAATTGACGGTTTTATTTTCTTTTAACCGCCATGTCAAAAAAAAAAAAAAAAAAANGCATGCTCAAACAGACAACAGACTTGCCACTTTTCCGGGTGAATACTCGGAATCGAGTCGGAATGAGACACCCCTCTAACCGGGCTTAACGACAGGCCTGAGGGTAGCGGTTTGTAATTAACGATTATAAGAATAGAAAGCTCTTGAGAAATTAGGTACTTAAAAATATTTTTTCTTATTTTTAAGGGCTTTGGTAACAATTTATTAATTTTTTCGTATGGAACTGGAGAGCCGCAACTTTACATCAAAAGAGCCACCTGTGGCTCGCGAGCCACAGGTTGCCGACCACTGCCCTAGCCCAACAATACAGAATATGTAAAAAAGGCATTTTCCTCCTTAAATTCATGTGTTTGAAAAAATGGATACCATATTTGAAAACAGATCCCTAAACAAAAGTAGAAATCAGTCATTACATTGTTATCACGCTTACATAGGGTGGGTAGCCAGATTTTTTTAATCACTTTCTAAAAAAAAAAAAATCATAATTAGAATATGTGCATTAATAAAAATTGTTTTTTTTTCCTATCGTTTCTTAATTTATAAACATAAAATTCAAAAACTTAACATAATCATGATAAAATTGCTAGTTTCTGATAAATATTGCAGAGAAAATTATGAAAAATCACGCATTTTTTTCTAATTTAGAACGGCAATGGACAAGGCAAAGAAAAAATGTATTTTAAAGGATAGAAAATTAAGCACTTTTTACAAACCCCGAATAAAAAAAGTACCTAAAGGGCTTTTAAAAAACGTAATAATCACTTTTTGAAAAAGCTACGCATCCTGCTACATGGTTCAAATTTTGCGGGTCTGTGTTATTGGGGAAAAAAATGAACAAGTGATTGAATTAAATAAGATGAGGTTTTCTTTTCTTCCATTCATTGAATTTCTAATATGATTTACTATAATTACAAATATAATTGTTGATCTTTACTTAGTTGATATTTTCAAATAATTTCTATTTATGTTAAATCGTCTTTGATTACATATTTTTTAAAAAGAAATGTAAGATTAATTACTAGTATGATCCATAAATGAGTTATTTTACTGCCAAAGTATGAAACACAGGCATTCCATAGAATGTCTGAACATTTCAAGCAAAAGGAAATATGAGAATTATTAGATTCTTTCCCTAGGCATTGTATGCAATACCTAAGCATTTAATAGAATGACAAATGCTATTTAGGCAAAGTATGAAAAAAGTTCCCGATAAGACTATAGTATAAATGACTGGCATTCCTCAAAAATACAAATGTTATTCTGAAAAAATAATGAGAATGCCATTAAGAAAATTTATTCAAAATACGTAAAGCAAAATGAAAGTCAAACAAAACAAAATTTATGCCTTCTTAATAAATAAAATAAAATTTTCATATAAGAGGTCAAAAAAAAATTTAAAAGTAGTTTACTTTTTTCAACATGGTAAGCTTGAGTGACATTCTGAGCTACATTTGAAACAAAGTAGAGATGGATATATTTTGTCAGCTTCTCATTTGACACTCTGTAAAATGCCTAGGGATAAATAATGAGGGCCACGATAGCCTGGTTGGTAGGGCACTGAGCCTATGTCCAAGAGGTTGCGAGTTCGATCCTTGCCGGCCTACGACTCCTCCTGTAGTAAATGGTGACTGATGCACGTTAAATCTGTCGAGTCTCGAAGTCCTCCATGTTCCCACAACAAATCATATTTCTGGGGGTACTGATCCATGAGTTTCAATGTCTTATGGATTGGGTTCAAAATAACAGAGATACGGAGTTGAACATTGGTAGTCGTAAACCCAAAATTGGATCGGCGGTTCAACGACGGTTATAGAATAAAATATGTTACGGGCTAGTTTTAAGCATTATATAGAATGACAATTTCAAACTTCGCCAGTAACATATATATTTTTCTAAAACAAATAAATTGAAACATTAAAAAAAAAAGTGTTTTAAATAAAAAAAAAGAGAAAAATCTGATTTATAAGAAATTAATAAAAAAATTAGTTACAAAGAATGGAAGAACCCTTTTTACTGAATTTCTTTTCACAGGGTGCATAGACAAATCTTTTAACAAAACATAAGCACCTTTTAAGCACTCAAAAAATATTTTTAAGCACTATGCACGTTAACAAAATGCAAAGTAATTTTCAAAGACTGATCATGATCGTGGTAAAAAACCCAGTTTCTGACAAAGAACTCTTGATTATATTAGCCATAATAAAAAGATCAAATAGGATTTTCAGTTCGATATCAGAGGATGGAAAATAAAGCCTGAAATTGAGAATATCTTGAAAAACACAGCCGAGTTCGCACACGAGAGTGCAAGAATCTAGCCGAACCAAGCTCAGGAAACGCAAGTATTTCATGAAACATGCAAAATAATTGGAGCTTTCATACGCTATGAAAAGACGGTGCACGCTGAAATAGATTGTGAAAACGTTGAATAGAACAATGTGAAAAGTACGCTTTTGCATAAATACGTGACGAAACAATCGACATGGTAAAATAAAATCTTATATTCGAGTAGGGAAAATTAATCACGTTTTAAAAACATCCAATGAAAAAAAGCACCTTTAAAAAACGCTACGCACCATGTTAAGTTGCATTGGGCTAACTATACTAGTTATAATTGCTGAAAAAACTAAGAGAAAAAAAAAAGAAACTAAACATACTTTAATGATATAGTAAATTATACAGTTCAGTATAGTTGGAATATCATCCTTAAATATAATATCCCATAGATTGCACATTGAGAGGTCACTATTTTTAAAAGACGAAATAAGAAACAAAATTCCCTGTATTTTCCCAGTTTCCAAAGAAGAAAAAAAAAAAAAAAAAATCAAAATTCCCTGTTATTTTAAAATTCTGTGTATTTTCCAGGTTTTCCCTGCGGAGTGGCAACTCTGAGTAAGAGCGGAAAAAAAAAGATAGGAGAAATTTTAATATGAAATGAAAACAATGATCATTTTATAGTTTTAATGAACTGATTGCACATAAACAATGCTTACATACAATTTTATGTAAAACAAGTACAAATAAAACACAAATATAAGTTTAAAAATAATTTATGAACAGCATATACAGAACACAGGCGGGAGTTTTCATAATACATCACAGGCATATAACATACTGACACCCACAAGGACATCCTCTTTAAAAAAAAATTAATCCAAATATATTCTTAAAGAAATAGTACACAAATTTATGTAGCATTGCATGAAAACTAAAAATTGTTTATTATTAAAAAAAGCTGCTCGGAACTATGATGGTGTAACTCGTATAGTGTAAAATAAAAAATATGCACTCACATTTCATTGGTTAAATTGGGGCACAAGAGGTCGATATTACATAAAATATATATATTGTTTTTCTTAGCAATTTTGTAAAAAACATAGTAAACTCAGTAAAAATAAGCAAATCACAAACCCCTTTCTATGCTTGTATAAGAAAGTTGCAACTCGCTTAGTTTTCACTTTATTTTTGACTTTTACTGTAGTAATCAAATTTCAGGATTGAATTCAAATAAAATATTTAAGTTTGCATACAATAAAATTGACATTTTACAAATCAGAATATACCTAAGAAATTTTTTTGTTCAAAATTCTTGAAAACTGAAACTTTTCAAAAAAAATTTTTCAATGCAATTATTTTTTAAATTTTTATTTTGCTTATTTTAAAACAAAAAATGAAAATAAAGGGATTTTATGTAAACATAGCTCATACCCCTCCAACTTGTCAATAACCAAATCAAAAAACTCCCCCCTCATTAGGTGTTTATGAAGTATTTGAATTGACCCCAATCAATAGATTAAAAATTCAGTAAAAAATAAAAATTTAAATAGCGTTAATAAATTTCATAGCTCATGAAAGATACAATAGTAATCCAAAGTTATAGTTACTCATTCAAAGAAAATTAATAATAATTAAATGAATTTAAAATAAAAATAGTTTATTACAACTATACAGTACAAATTATACATAAAATTTGATTTAAAAATCTTAAGATTTGTAGTTGTCGAGTATGAAAATTTCAGATTAAGCTTTCTTATTCTTCAGATTCTATATTTTCATTGCATCCATTATCGAGACACATAGAATGAAAACAGCGCATCCTAACTGACCTCCGATTCTGACATACATGTACAACAGCATACTGCTGCCATCTATATTTCATATGCTGAAGTATCAAATGAATTGGGATATGCCACAACTCCCATATTTTACATTTAAAATTTGTTCATACTAAAAAATGCAACTAAAGTGATGTGATTTTCCTCAAAATGGAATTTGGTTAGGATTTGCTGTTACCATTCCAAGCACTTCAATTTTACTTACAAAGTTGAAAAATATATTTTTATTACATGAGTGCCCCAAGTTAAAGTTCAATGAAACCAGTTTCACTGTACTTACTTACACATAATGCAAACAATAATAGTTTATAATTACGGATTCTTCAATCTTAATGATAACACAGAATTATTTCCGAAACCCCATATCTGTACATGATATCGTTATCAATGACTTGTGCATAGATACCTCTTTTGACTTTTTAAACTAATTTTAAACAGATACAAGTTAAAACATAGAGCAGAACACATAATGCATTGTCTCTTAATAAATATTTGTAAGTAATGTAATGTATGATAAAATGCCAGACAGTCACTTCACTTTTTTTTTTGCGCAACTATTTCTCTGTAGTAATGTAGTCCTGCATTCTATTAGATTGTACAGGGTTACCACTCTAATCTGGAAAAAAAGTTCCCCGTGCTTTCCCTGTATTTGTAAGTAATTTAATGTATGGTAAAATGTAAGTAATTAATATTTGTAAGTCATGTAATGTATGATAAAATGCCAGACAGTCACTTCACTTTTTTTTTGCAACTATTTCTCTGTAGTAATGTAGCCTTGCATTCTATTAGATTGTACAGGGTTACCACTTTAATCTGGAAAAAAAGTTCCCCGTGCTTTCCCTGTATTTGTAAGTAATTTAATGTATGGTAAAATGTAAGTAATTAATATTTGTAAGTCATGTAATGTATGATAAAATGTCAGACAGTCATTTCACTTTTTTTTCGCAACTATTTCTCTGTAGTAATGTAGTCTCGCATTCTGTTAGTTTGTACAGGGTTACCACTCTAATCTGGAAAGAAAGAAAAAAAATTCTCTGTGTTTTCCCTGTACATATTATACACAATATATCAAGCGAAACTGCTCTTGTGTGAGCTATATTGGGCTAAATATATTAATTTTTAATTACTGGAAAAACTTAAGAGAAAAAAGGTACAGCTGAACATGCTTGAAACAAATAATGCTATAGTAAATGGAATAGTTAAGTATAGCCGAAAAATTCTTAAATTTCGCTTTGAATGGTCACTATTTTTTAAAAGACTAAACTAAACAAAATTACCTGTATTTTCCAGGTTTTCCTCGTGGAGTGGTAACCCTGCTGTGTAGATAATTTACATGAGATGAAAGGGCAAAAAGAACTTTTTAACCGTATAACCGGTAACAGAATTTACAGAGAAAATCTGCAGCTCTATCCTCATGAATTCGAATCAGTCTGATCTCAATGCAGTAAGACAGTATTAATGTAGAAATTCAGTCAACTCAAATACACAAGCAACAAAATTTGCAAATATAGGATCCTTAAAAATTATACACAAATCTTTATCTTGTTTAAATTTAAGTTGCATTTCGCACAATTATACTAAAATTATTGGACTAAATAAATATCCGTAATCAAGTAAAAAACATTTTCCTTTTCGCAATGTTCTCTTAAATCAGCTTTTTAGGTTTATTAAGAAACACATTTTAAAATGTTTTCTGCAATTTTCCTCTATTTGCTTGTTTACTTTTTCAAAATAAAACTCAAATAAAAAATATTATCTGTAGTGCCTGCTGCCGTGTTTCTGCGATTGTGATTATATAGAACCTGAAGTTTTATTATGTTTAAAACAGATATATATATATATACATTTTAAACAAAAATTAGTTATTATTAAAATTAGAATTTTTTCAAATTAGATATTTATTTTGAAACTTTGTCTATTTAAAATATAAATGATAGTTTTTTTAATGGATAAATGCTTTGATACAAACTAACTAATAATAACAAATAACATTACAAATAAAAAAATTAACTCCAGGAGATTATATGGAATATTATTTGCTGACTATAGCATAACATCCAAAATATTTGGAGACAGAATTTTTATAAGTAAATTAAACACAAAAATTATACTAAAATAACTATAAATCTAGATAGACTGTAACATATTTCCATCTATAAATTACATTTTTGAGACAAGATGATTCTTGTTTTTACTAGGATTATTTTCAAATTCATGATTTTGAATAGTAATAGATATTTAAATCATTTCAGATAGTTAAGATAATTTTTAATTAAGTAAAAAAAAGAATTCCAAACTAAAAAAAAGAAAAATAACACTTAAAAAAACAAAAATGATTGAAATTTTTTTTGTAATGAATAAATGTAAGTATAGAACATTATTTTGGTTGCACAGCCACAGAGTATTTATTTGTAATTTCAATTACGTAATTTCTTATGCAGTGATTTTTAACCCTATAAAATTTGCATTTAACCATTTGAATTAAAACAAATATATTGTTCACAAAAAAAAAATGTCTCATTTAAGTTCTAAGTTATAAATCATGTTTTAATTTGACTTAATTTACATGTCCTGGCATGTTTTTTTTTTAAGAAAAAATTATATTTTCAGTTAAGAAGTTATTGATAGCTCAACCGAACAATACTTTCTGCAGTAATTTTCAATGTTTAAAGAAAATGAGAAACTGTTTTCAAATTGAAAAAAAAAAAGGGTTGATCACATAAAACAAATAAATAAATAAATAAAAAGGCTAACATAAGATGGTTAAAATTATGCCACTCTAAAAACCAATAATCACTGACATCTCTGTGTATAAAATTACATAAAATTCATACAATTACAAAAGGTAATTTTGGAAAATGATAATTTAAAAAGAATAATTTTTTTTTCTTACTTTAAACATTTGGAATTTAACACAAATAAACTAACTTTTAGGCACAAGTTCAAACAGAAGGGTGGAAAACATATACCCATTTGATACCACGTTACTAAAATTGAAAGTCCAGTTCATTCTGGAATGATACACCCAAAACTAATGACACACAACGATTCTTCTTAAAAACAAATGTTTTTTTATATATATAAAATAAAAGTATTAATCTAAAAATGTGAAGTTTAAGTGCTGTAGAAAATGATAACGATATCATCTCCCTTTGCCTAAGGTGATGGCATTGTTATATATATATATACACGGGCTGATTGTGATCTTTAAAAAAGATGCAATGTTAACTTTCCTTCAAAACATGCTTTTCAATGTTTAAAACATTATTTTTTTCTAAATACTCAACTTGATGTATGATAGATTTTGTAATTAAAAATAATCATTCAATACAGGTATATATATATATGTATATATAAAACTCCTTTTAAAGCCCAGAGGCATTTCCAACTGAGGATAGAGAGAAAAGTCACTGTATTTCAACACTGAAGTGCTTTAAGTACAATTAAACAACTGCTCCGTTCTTTTTTTCTTTTCTTCAGACAGCGCCAACATTTCAACAAAGTTTAATAAACATTCACGCTGAATCAAAAACAAGTGCCTTTGATTTTGAAATCCAAAGACACAGAATTAATACAAGAGAGGAAGCGATCCTGATTTTCAAAGAGACAGTTCAATCGTGTGTCCTTGATAATTCAGACAGGCACTGGGCTATGGTCCTTGCTGATTCAACAGGTGACATAGCCAAGTAGGCCAATTCAGGCTCGAACCTCCTCATGTATCTAGAAAGAAAACAACTCAATTAGACTATTTCTTTATCAATTATATGTCATTTTTAATGTTTCAATTTTATACTTTTTTAGGAAAATTTCATAATCAGGGTTACCACCGATATCTGTCAAAAAAAAACATTCCCTTTGTTTTTCCCTGCACATATTATACACAATAAATACGTGTAGCCAAATCTTTAAACAAAAAACAAGCACCTTTTAAGTACTTTGTAAGCACTCAAAAAATATTTTTAAGCACTATGCACATTAACAAAATTCAAAATAATTTACAAAGACTTTACATGATCGTGGTAAAATAACTAGTTTCTGACAAAGTACTCTTTTCTTGATTATATTAGCCATTATAAAATGATCGAGAGATTTTTCGTTTCGATATCAGACGGTGGAAAATGAGGCCTGAAATCGAGAATATCTTGCAAAATACAGCAGAGTTGCACAAGAGAGTGCAATAATCTCATAGAACCCTGCTCAGTAGACGCACATGTGGACTCCCAAGTATTTCATCAAACATGTAACATGATTGGCGCTATCATACGTTGTGGGCCGACGGTACGCCGAGATGGATTGTGGTTGAATGATTTATGAATATGTTGAATAGAACAAAGTGAAAACCACGTTTTTGCATAAAACGCAGCGAAAATCGACACGGCAAAGGACAAAAATCTCATTTTCGAAAAGGAAAAATTAAGCACTTTTAAAAAACACCCCAGGAAAAAAGCACCCTTAAGCACTTTTTAAATAGATAAAAAAAAACAGTCACTAATTTTACATACATATCCACAACAACATATTTAAATAAAAAGCGTATCATATAAAAGCCAGAACTAAAGCCAGAACTTAAAATTGTAATGTTAACTTATAAGTTAATCAAGAATTTAATGATTGAAAAATATTTTGTACTTACGTTCTTGCAACAGAGCTATGTGTCACCAGGTTTCTTAAAATGAGAGCACTAGTTAAACGAATACTTTTGGTCAATGCACTCTCTTTTTCTTCCTATAAGAAAGGAAAATACAAAATTAAAACTTACACAGTTCAGTCCAAAAACCTTTTTTTAAATTAAATATAGCCACAGGGAAAATTTCAGATAATCTAAAAATCATAAAAAAAAACCTTTTACAGTGTAAATCATAGACACACATAGCTGTCAACATGGATAGGAAAAAATCCAGTAGATTTTTCGAAATATTATAAATTTCATGATAATTGTGGCATTCCCTATGTGTAAATACTTTAGGGATTTTTATAGTAATCAAAATTCCAATATTTTCCAGTTATGATTGACATTAAATGTACTTAAAATGTTATGTATTATGTTTACTCATAATTTTGAATAGTAAAAGGCATTTAATTCATCAAAGATTATAAGAGTTTTGTAATTAATTTAAAAAGGGAGTTCTGAATAATAATAAACTGAACATTCTAGAACAATAAAAGTTTTAAATTGATTTCTAAAAATAAGGCTCGCTTCATTATGTATTACTAATACTTATTTAAATATTCAAACAAACAATGATCTATTTCAATAGGGATTTTTTTAAGAAATTTACTCAATTTTAAGGAATTTTCTAAAAATGTACCAAAAACTAGGAGGATTTTCATTAAACTAGTTGAAACTGGCCAAATCCAGTAGTCTACTGGAAAATCCAGTAAAGTTGGCAGCTGTGGATTCAAAACTTTTAGGTGTGTAGAGATATTATTTATATTTTTTGTAAATAGTCCACTAATCAGGGAATATATTAGAGTCAAGATTTTTTCGAAATATTCATGTACATATAAGCAGGAGTGCAAAAAATTCTCATAACATAATATTTCCCATGAACAAGGTTTAATTTTAAAACTAGCAACAAGGCAAAATTTTAAAACTAGAAATACTGTAGAATTGATAATAACTTTTGAAATTTGTGGATAATCTCCCAACTTAACAGATTAAACTTATATAATTTTAAAATAGTTAATTGAGTCCATTGATGGAAAAATTGTTACTCAGAGAATTTGCTTAAGTAGCATGCCTGAAGTTTGAATACAAAGATTTTACATGGAAATCCAATAACATTATTGATTAGAAATGTTCTCTCTCTCTTTTTTTTAAAAAAAACCCAACAAGACTGCCCTTCCATTTGGAGTTAGTTCCAATGCCTTCCTTATAAAAATCTGAATTTTTTTTAACAAGATACTTCAATTGCATAAAAAGAATAGTCATTATTAATCAATATTTGGAAAATATATGGCAGGAAAAGAGAAAAAAATGGAATGGATAAGAAAAATAAGAGATGGGGAAGAAAAAAAAGGATAATCACAGAAAGTTCCTTGGGATTGATATATTGAAGGGCGTGTCGCTTGATGGCCAGCATAGCCGCGTCGGGAGCATATCCTGGATGAGGAGGAGGTTTTTGAGGAGGTGGTACAGAGGTCTTTCCCTGTTGAGAAAGCTGGAGTCTTCTCACTGCCTGAGTGTGGAGAACCCTCTCACTGCAATGCCAGTCCTACAAAAAAAAGAATACACAAGAATTATTCTTAAAAATCCTTACACTTAGTAAGCATGCTTAAAAACACTCTTAAAATAACAGAGTAATAATTTAACTCTATTTTAACTATTACTAAAAAATTTTAATGACTGCACGACAAATTCATTACAATCTATATATATATATATATTTTTATTTTAACGATTAATTATCCTTGTGACTCTTTCAAATATCAGGAAAAAAATCAAAATCTTGAATCGTTTAAATTTAAAGAAATCAACTGAATATATATTTTAACCCAATATGCATATTCAAATTATCTTTTTTTTTACTTTATTAAGGTATTTTCGATTCAACTATTTTACTCGTCTCATGCTTAGGAATATTTATTATTAATGATGTCCAAGTTTAATGTTACAAGAAAATGCAACAGCTTGTGTTGCGAGAGGTGACCTTTGTCAATTGTGCAGACTGTCAAAGGATGCATTACTCACCTGTAGATGGGTCAACAAGGAGAATCGTTTTCTTTTCATAGAATCACAACCTTCCCACTGACATATAGCATCATCACTATGAGGTACGTGAGCTTTACTAGCATGAAGAAACACCAAACCATGCGAAGAAAATTTTCTAAAAGAAAAAAAAAAGGTTTAAGAGAGGTGCCAAGTTTCAAAACTAACTATCAGAAATAAAAGTAAAATAACATATAAATATACAATAATAGGGTTGCCACTCAGATCTGAAAAAAAAAATTTCACGTCATAATTGCCAACGTTGGAGGAATAAAATAACAGAGATTTTACTAGCAACGTTTTTTAGGCTATGAGTAAAGTTTTGATACATCGTGCGTAATTATGTAAGTCAAAAAGAGAAATTCAGAATTGGACATAATATAAGCATTTACATTTACCTAAGTAACAATTATGTATATAAATCTTAATCTAGAGATTTTTTTAAACCATTATTTAGAATAACTTAAACTATAAAAACTCAACATACTGCAGTACTGGCGATAGCACCATCTGTTGAGGAATAAGATAGGTATTTTTTCCATCAGCAGGGTATTTTAATGGCAAAAATTTTTTCAACAAATACAGAGAAATTTGAGAAGATATGGGTAACCAGAAGATAGTCGTATAATACAGGGGCCTTCGTTAAAAAACAGGAGACTTTGCAGGTATGTCCTGTATGTATTCTACACAATATATTAAAAGGAAACAACAATTACTTTGCTCTTGTATGAGCTATGCATAGGGATGAGATTAGCCAAAAGGCAAAAAAGCTGATTTTCTACAGGAGTAAATCATAAGTGAGTACAATTGTTTAATAAATTTTATAAAATTTACGATAATAAATAACTATATGTTGATTAAAATTAATTGTATAATAATTTATTAATATTTGAATAATTACTTTGACGTTAACAATTAGTAAAATGTAAAATAACCAATAGAAGAAAAAAAAGTTAGAAATTATATTTTTCTTCAGTTCACACAAAAGAGACAATTATTACTTGAGAATCCTGCTTAGTTTAGCACATCAAACTACTGAAAACATACACATACATTCAATTTCTTTTCTCAAATACCTCTGTAGCAGAATGTTTTCGGACTTTCTGCCACAAAACTCTCTAGCACTAATATCTTTCTGCAAGATACTTTCAATAATAACAAATATGTATGTTACTAATTAAAGGTAATAGAAACGCTGTGTTTACAAAATCAATATATATATATTTTTTAAACTTGAATATGTAATATTTTTTTTATTCTAATATTATGGGCGATATGGGACCTACTAATTATTTCCTTTATCGCATTTTATGCAATCACGTAAATTGGACTCTTCAGAAAGGAGTTACTCAAATATATGTCTCTCTTCAAGATTTAATTGTTGTAATAAATAATATCGTATAAAAAATATTGAGTTTCAAAAACTAAGTGGAAATCAAAAGAAAGAAGAAAAAAAACCATTGCCTTAAAAAGTAAATGATCAAACGTGCAATTCGAATTTCCATATCAACTGAAATATACTGGGACATCTAAAAGCCATGCGAAAATTAGTGTCAATAACTGCCAAAAATACAATCAAAATGGATTTACGATATCGGCATAAATTGAGCACTTTAAAAAGTGATTACTTAAATGTGCAATTCAAATTGTATGCGCAAATTTTTGCATTAAATCAAACCAAAATTTTCCACTTCCCAAAAGCAAAATATTTCTGCAAGAAGTCTAAGGTTCTGTGACAATGTCGCCATGTCACTGCAACTCTGCCACTGGGATAAATACTATAATGTGATTTATAGCAAAAATATCAGCAACATGATTTTTTAAATTATTTAGAAAAGAATATATATAAACTTTTACAACTGGAATCATTATGTTCATATTATAATTTAATATATCTAAAGCTCGGTGAAACATATCAATAATTGTGAAGTAGAAAAATTTTGCAACTCCTTAATGTACCGACAAAAATTGCTATTTTAGTGCGTTAAAGTAGTTTGAATTTTCTGTTTATCTTTGAAAATCAGAAATAAATATGAGAGTCATTTCAACGGCTTAATTTTCAGAAAAAGCGAAATATTTACTTAAAAAAAAAAAACATTTAAACTTTTAGAGAAAAATGAGATTTTCCAATAAAAAAGAGGGGGAAAAAGGAACTAAGTAACAAAACAAGTTTAAGTTACTAAATCAGACGCAAAAACGTACTTTATAACTCCTGTGAAATCGAATTAAAAATAAAAAAAATCAGATATTTATAGTTAGATTTCTCAGGAACAACTCGTCAGATTTTTCTGAGCACGAGATGTAGATTTTATTAATGCTCGGTCACAGAGGCATTCTGATCGTATACGCTGACGGGCCCGTAAAGTATTTGCACTAATCAGATTTGAATTTTTTTTATTGCGTTTCAACTTTGTTTCTTTATCTAACTAACGTTAACCACAGATCACTAGAAAATACTGTTTTTTTTATGCATCACACAACTCACTGCACTATTTTTTTTTAAAAAGTAGCGCACTGCACTACAAACTACGGAAAAAGGTAGTGACTACAGTAGTTTCGCTATCTGTAGCGTGTTACTTCCGACCACTGCTTGAGAACCAACAGGCAACAGATTATCAAAATTTTTGAATTTCTGAGTTTCAGAGATTTTATCATCTACTTTTGTCAGTAAATTTAAAAAAAAAAAAAATACTATTTAAAATTGATGTTCATTTTTAATATATTTTAAGAATTTTGTAGGCACCAAAGATATCGTAGAAAATCAAACTGAATACTTACAGACCACAATCTTTCCACTCACAAATGAATTCTAGCTTTGATGAAGTAGTTGTTGTTCTTGTGGTGGTGGTCGCAGTGACATGAGGGCTATTACCACTGGCCGAAGTCAGACCAGAAAAAGTTTTGATTTCTTTGTCACACGGAAGATCTGCATTCTGTACAGGAGTCGCTGCAGCAACGGCAGTTGTTTTGGGGGTGGTATTATCAGAGATGGATGATTTTAATAACACAGGTAGAGTTTCATGAGGTTTGTTATTATCAACAACTATAGCACCCGCAGTAGCTGTAGGTAACCGCAGTGAAGCTTCCAGCAGGGGAGAGTCCAAGCGAGGCTTTTTTAAACTGGCAGCGACACATAGGGTTTCACTGGACGGCCTTTTCAAGGTGGATGTTTCGGGTGCAGGATGCCGTAACTGATTAAAGTTCACCTGGGGTATCGAAACCAAATCGCCTGTATCATCGTTTTTAGGAATACTTTGCAATATACATAACTTAATGTTGGGGGATTGAAGTTGAAGTTGTGGCTGATTTAAAACTGGGGTCACTACAAATATCTGTTGTCCAGTTCTAGTAGCAAGAGTAGGAGTGTTTGAGTTAATGAGAGTAACAGTCTGGGGTGCTGCCACACAAGCGTTGCTACTGTAAGGCACCTGTGTGTTGCACTCGGCGTTCGTTCTCGATATCGCTTGAGATGCACATTCTAATGTTCTAGCAATATCAGATATTGAAGACAGGTCCGAACCTTGATTAGAATTTTCGGGACTCTCTATATGCAGTCTGACGACTCCCTTTTGATCAGGTTGCACCTCTACAGTACCTGAAAATGTGGTCTGTCCAGTACAAATTTGCATCAGGTCAGTTCCATTCGAATGAAAAGAAGTTGCGGGCAGAACTGATGGTACGAGAACGGGTGATGTGGTTGTGGCAGTGCTGTTTAGAGATGCATTTGTTGCTGCTGTTGTTGAGTTATAAGATGAGTGCACAATGGCTGATGATAGGGAAGATGCTGGTATGATAACTGAATTAAAAGATGGTGCCGGTATGACGATGGAATTCAATGATATGGGTGCCGAAATGTTTGTCGGAGATGGCATGACAGCAGAAGCAATCGAATTCAAGGACAGCTGGGAACCTGAACTGGCAGATGAAACTGTGAAAATACCCTGACTAATAGCATTCGATGAGATCGTGAAGACTGAACTTGATGGCGAAGAAGATACAATGTCGGGATGAACTGACATGGAAAGCAAAGGATTTGAATTACACGTTGATAAAGTGCTCTGGCTTACATTTAATTGAACAGATTTGGTCATTTCATTGTCACCATCACGATTTGAGCCGCCCCCGTTTTGCAGCAGAATTGTCTTTGATTGGAAATCTTCTAAAAGAGGTAGTTTTCCCTTATCTAACAATCCATTCAATAAAGGAGCTTTCTTACATATAGATTCCCTCTGGATCATCTGGTGCTTTGTGATGCTGGTTGCCACGGGAGATGATTCAAACTCATTCAAAACAGACTTCAAAATATTTGACGATGGTGAGACGACCTTCGGCTGCATGACAGACGGCGTGACCACATCGTTGCCGTTCACCAAGGTGCACTGCTGTTCTTTGACAGGAGAAGAAAGTGCTATTGACTGAGATCTCACAATAAAAAAATTTCCAGACGAGGGGTCACCCGAAGTCGCTATCTTATAAGTAACTGAACTGTCTTGAACTGCAGGAGATAACAGAATATTTTGATCAGAGTTATTATCCCTAGCAGATAAGTCATCACTCATTAGTGAATCTTTGGTATCAATTCCAGAATCATTAAGGAACTGATTTTCTAATGAAACTGGATTAGGTGGCTTTAAATGAACAGAGGGAACTAAAGTAATGTTTTTGGAGTCTTCACTGTCTAAATGCACCTGAAACAAAATAATCATATATTTTAAAGAAATATGTTTAAACCAAATTATAAACTGATTTTTCCATACAAGCATAGCTGCCAACACAAATAGGAAAAAATCAAGTAGATTTTATGAAATAATATAAATTTCATGATAATTGTTGCAAAATATGCTAAATATTTTACACATAGAGAATTTTAGGGATTTTTATAGTCATCAAAATAGAAAAACTGCAATATTTTCCAGTTATGATTGATTTTCTAGATAAGGTGAAATTAAATTATCTTGAAATGTTATGTATTATGTTTATTCAAAATTTTGAATAGTAATAGCCATTTAATTAGTCAAAGATAGTTAACTGAGCTTTATAAATGAGGCTCACTTCCTTATGTATTAGTGACACTTATTTAAATATTCAAGCAAAGCAATAATCTGCACAAAAATTCTATTTCAATAGGGATTTTCTTAAGGAAACTTACTCAATTTTAGGGAATTTTCTAAAAAGTACAAAAACCAGGAGAATTTTTAAAGCAGAGTTGGCTGCTACATACAAATGATAATTGTTTTCTTATTGTCTAAAATAAGTTTTGGAAGCTAATATAATTTTTATAAACAAAATATACAGGTAGTAAATCTGGCATTATGCAGATGTTGTAAGAACAAAAAAATTTACATCCTAGAGACATTAAAATATAGTTTAAAACAACGCATAACCTAATTAAATATTTTTTTTTTTTTTTTTTGCTATAAACTAATGGGTATATGATAAAAGATTTCAGAACACAGGCAGGAAACAGGTAGGATTAAAAATAATAATAATAATAATTAGACTAATAAATGGATGCTTACTTCTGTTTTCAATTCACTTTGAATCCCATTGATTTGAACTTGATTGGGAACAGCAGCGGTCAACAAAGACTGTTTCACTACATGTTGCTTCGGAGCCCACATCGGATTCGCTTTGATGACGCCAGAATTGGGTGCAGCAATGATGCACCCCTTATTGGGAACAATGCGGGCCTGCAGAGATGGTCTCAACTGATTAATCTGAGAGAGCGCGCCTGGTCTGATGCACCTGACAATAGTGGTCGGGGAATGGATTCCGGGAGCCAGGCCGGTAACTTTTCCGGGAGAGTAGATCACCATCCTCGGAACGTTCTGTTGGAGGTTCCTCTGCTGGACCTTGTTTGCAAGGAGACTTTTTATCAGAGTGCTGGAGGAAGTATTTGTAACTCTGTTGATAGCAGCTGAAGAGACAGCTTTTGCTGCTACTGACTGGGAATAAGTCTTGAGGAGAGGGGTGGGAGAAGCTGTGGCTGGAGCTGAAAGCTGAGCTTTTAAAATAGGACTCTGTACTGGTTTAGGAGGAGCTTTACTTGGTGTAACAACAGAAGTGGTGGCAGGGTCTATAAAAAATAATAATCAACATGATGAATGGATTCATAGCTATAGCTAAAGAGAAACGGGGTAGAAACAGTGGATCAAACAATATACACTGTTATTCTATCACAGTGCTTACATATTTAATATACACTGTTATTTCTATCATAAAAGCATGACATTTAAATACTATTTTCATCAATTGAGTTTAAGCTTTTTATTAATAGTTTGATTAATTGGAAATTAATAAAAAAAAATAAAAAAATAATAAGCTTGAAAAAAATTATCGAGTATTTAAGATGCGCATAATATTCTTTTAAAAAATTACAGTACAGAACCCGTTATCCGGAAATCAGAAAACCGGATCGAAATTTGATAAATTTTCCTGCCATTTAAAAAAAATTTTTTTTTTTCCCTCATAAGATTTTAGGATTTTTCTTTCTTTTTTGAAAGATGTTTACCGTACCATCATTTTAGAAATAATCATTATTGTATTACTTCATCGTTTTACCTTCTTTTTAAGATTATTTCCTAATATTTTTTTTTTTAGTTGGGTTTAACAATAAGAAAAACGGCTTTTTGTAGCGATTCAGAAAACCGGAAAAATCAGTTATCCGGAATAGCAATCCAATTGTCAAAATTATCTATAAATTGCAATGTTTTAACAAATTTAACTATAACTTTTACATGGGTCAATATTTTTGATACCCAAAAAATTTTATTAACACTTACAATTATAACATATTCAATGATTATTATGCATGGCATTCACAATATTATCTTTTTCGTATGTCAAGTGATTACATCATTGATAATGATCGCAATATTATCATATTAGATAGGCTTATGTGCATCATTGATTACAGGCGACCTGAGAAAACCAGAATCTTTAGGTTGTCTACCAGGACTTGGGAAACAAAATTATGACCTCAAAACAAATTTTCATTATTTCTTTTCACAACATTTTGCTTTATATTTTTTTTCAATCTTTTCTTAGGAATCGGAGAAAGACACAGAACATTCAGTTTCATTTTAGTATTTACACTATTACTGTTTTTCTAATTAGTGTCTGTTCATCAACCATTTTCTGCTTCTTCAAAAAATTCAAAAAATTTTAATTTTTTTTTTTCTTGAGGAATTTTTTGACTGAGTTATTTTGAATCTCTACTGTATGAACATTAAGAACATTCAAACTAAATTTCCACTTCCACAGAAAAAAAAAAAGTATTTTTTTTTCTTTCCAGAAAACACTGCCTGTTAGCCCTTTGGAAAAGCCTTTTATTGCGATTACAAGCCTCATTCTAGTCTACTATCCTGACAATTTTTCCCAAAATTGCATACAACATTTCGATCACTTTTAAGCCATTTTTATGTAATTTTAAAATTTATAATTTTTTAACATGGTGACAAACAAATTTCAAACACTTTGATGCTCTCAATCTTGGGACGAATACATTATTTCTGATTTCATAAAGACTATTATCGTTTTTCAGCTATTTATATAAATTTTCTTTCCTTTATTCACCAAATTCTAATATTTTTTAAATAGACTTGCCTCTCAAAAACTCCAAAAGCCAAAATTTGAACACTAGATATTCTAAATGCCATTAAGAGATGTTGCGTGTAAGCTTGTTGCTATTAAAAGAACAGAAAAATTATCGTTCTGCATGAGAATATAATCTGAACAAACGATGAATACGGAGGAGAAAGACCGAAAAGGATATTTTATTGAAGACAAAGCGTGCACCGCACAATGGCAATGTTGATTGGAGGCATTTAGAATGTGACTGGGGCTAGAGGACAACCTGGAGGTAAGGGGCAGAGGGTCAAAAATTTGTCTCTCTCTACAATGGGGATTCGGATAAAAGCAAAATTGATTGTTAGTATTGCAAATTTCAATGGTGGTCGTAATTGACGTGTCAGATTCATGAAACATAAGAAATCTGTTAAACAGAAGACACTATTGGGCCAAAAATTGCCTGATGACATGATGAAGAAATTTGCTGCACTTCTGGAATTTGCAAATAATAATAAAAAAAAAATAGAGGAACTTGGCCTGAACTACGACCAGCTAATTAAGATAGATGAAATTCTGCTTCTGGCAGACTATCCTTTTAACAGGACTGTGAATGAAACGGGAGCGAAATCTGCAAATATAGTCTGGGGAAAAGCCTACCCCGGTGCTGAGCTTCAAACAAAAAACTTTACGCAAAGGAGATTTTTTGAAGGATGCAACCATAAAGCAAACGAAAAGGGATGGACGTGTGAGGTCATGATCAGGACCGGAATGGCTGGACGTGTGTTGACTTTCCCCCAGCCATGAAGATTATTGACCCTTGATTCGCTGTGTCGCTATAGGCTAGACTCAATTAAAGACACATGTGGAAAAAAATTCACTGAATTAGCTGCAATCCTGAGCAGTCTGACAAAAACACTTCAGCCTCTTGATCTGACAATCAATGGGGTTTTCAAACAAGTGAAACAGCTGTTGGAGAATTGGATGGAGCAGGGCATCCACCAAGAAAGCCTCTCCTTTGACAGCAAATTAAAATGCTAAGAGTGCCAAGACATAATTTGTTTAATTAGGTGATATTGGCAACACTGATTGCATCAGTTGGAAATGAGTAGATAAAAAATAAAAGTAAAAACATAATTCCTATTCCCGATCATCAATGTACGAACTTAATACCAAATTTATATTCAAATTCACTAAAGTGCCACTTAGTAACTTCACCTACTGATAAGATTTATAAAATACTTACTCTTTTGCACAGCAGTATTCACAGAAGTAGCTTTAGAGACAGGAGGAACTCCAAGAGAAGTCACAACATTCTTTCTCTTAAGTCCATCATGGTGAAAAGTAACAACACCACCTGCAGATGTTATTTTCTTCAAGGGGCACTGAGGAAAACTGTTCCTAAAATATATATTCAAAGTGTCTTAAGCTCTTAAACTTTGCTTTTACAACAACTCAATACTAAAATATACAGTTTATTTTAGTTTAAAGTAAGTAGAAAGATAGAATGACTAGGTACTTAAAAATGAAAAATTAAGAAATTTATCCATTAGCTAATTCAGACGGTACAAAATATTATGCAATTTTCAACTACACTGAAATGACATAAAATTAAACATTTTTAAGATATATGTAACTAGTGATATTATTACAACAAACAGTTATAACAATATATATAATTTTTTTAAAAATATAAAATGAAACTATTAATATTAGGAAGATATTTTAGTTTTAAAATATATTTTTAACCCGAAATAATGATACAAAAAACCTGGAAATCTGGGATACAATCAACCCTGGATTTCGTAATTAAGGACTTTTAAAGACCTCGTACCTAAATTTTGTACTTTTAAGAGCCCTTACTTTCCAAAATAAAAATTAAGCAGTTTTTTAAGGACTGTGGGATTCCTATTTAAGGTTATTTTACATAAGTTATCAAGTATATAAAATGCATAAATTCGATACAAAGTTATTAATACCACATTAACACTTACTTGACACAGCCGGCAAAGACATTGGCGTTTAAGACACCTTTGCGTCCTGCTTTGCCGCAGAAGCTAACATAATCAGCATAAACATCATTTCTAGAAGTGACGCTCCCTGGGGTTACTTCATACATTGATTTCAACCTTAAATTAAAACACAAATTTAGTATGCTTCACATGAAGTAACAATGTAACAAACAAGAGAAAGAAAAAACTTTTTTGTACCAGTTACAGGCAAACGTTTCAGAGTCTACATTTCCTGGAGTTGTTGCGGAGGATGAAGCAGAAGTAGAATCTGTCGCAGTTTCTGCAGAGGATTCTAAAACAAATAAAATGGAAACAAGATATTTTATTTTTGAAAATTATCAAAAAGCTACTTTTACGGAACTGAACATATAAAATAATCACCTAGGTTTCTAAATTATGTGAACTGATTATATAATCATCATAAAAATTAAAAAAAGACCATTCTAAATAACTTATGATTTAAAAATCGGAACTTCACGTTCCAGGACTCAAATCTTTATGGTTTGGTAGGGTGATTAAATATGATAATTCATTAGTGCAGATGATATCTTAAGTTACAAAATCCGACACAAAAACGTGTTTTCTCTGAATAAACACAGTTTATTTATTTATTTATTATTATTTTTTTTTGTTAATGGATTCGGATTAACGACTCCCAAAATATAGGGGTAGCTGCAATCTGGAAAATAGGATCTCCGTTGTTTGAATACCTCCGACCTTTAAATATTATTTTTGAATCTTGTAAGGTATCAATTTTTTACATAATTTTAAAGTGTACAAAATTTGAGCAAAATCGGCTGCATAGTTCTTGAGTAATCAAATTTTAAATACAAATTTTTTTTTTGTGCATAATTTCTAATGACAAAAAAATAAATAAATAAAATAAAATTAAAAAAAGGGTGGGGCAGGAAAAATAAATTGCTGAAAAAGGGAGCAAAATTAGGGACTAATTTTCACATAAATTTTTCTTTTTTACTTTGTTGCAGTTCTTTAATCTTGCAAGGAAGAAAACTTTCCGCTCGTAGTAAAATATTTCACAGTCACAAGTACATTGCAAAAAGAAACATTAAATTCGAAAACACATAATTTTTTAAAATTAGTTTTAAACTGTTTCATATATTTATTTTTAAGTGTATCTGAACACGAGATATTGAGAATTTATCTCAGTTATTGTTTTAAAAAATCAAAATGTTAGGAGTTAATTGACAAACCTGTCTTGTCTTCCAGCTCTCCTACTGACTCTGAAGGAACTAATGTCTCCACAATTTTCATCCGTATTTGTGCCGATGGGCCATACTGACTAGGATCGATTGTCAACAGACTCACAAGAGAACCTGTTAATTACAGTCGGAATGATTAGTATTGGAATAAAATATACAATATAAACAATTTCAAGGTTGACAACAATCCCTCAGATAAAAGAATTCCCTGACATACAATATAACTGGCGGCATAGGTTTCATCATAAATTTCTTCAGCAGCAATATGTTACAAAATGTTAATAGAGCTGAAAATGAAAATTGTCTTAAAAATAATTAACACAAGACCAATTTTTAGGAAAAATATTGAACTTTTGGGTACCTCAAACTAGAATTGGTTAATTTTTCACAACTTTTTAGATATTTAAACTAAATTCCCTATTCTGTGAACACCCTGAGCTTTAGGTTCACCACTGACATCTGCAAAAACAATTTCCTGTATTTTACCTGCACATATGATACACAATATATTAAGAGGAAACACACATTCACTGTGCGCTTGTAAACTACATTAGGATAAAGAAGCTAGTTTTAGCTGTTGAAAAAACTTGAAGAAAAAAGAAACAGAATGAAACAATATATAGTCGAACCAGAGCTCATTCTAGGCAGAAAAAAGGGCAGGGTGCAAAAGTTTAAAAAAAAAAAAAGGCATTATTATTCTAAAAAGGCAATAATTTCTTTCTGGGGGCTTTACACGTTCTATTAAAGAACATAGTCAATTTTTTCTTTTTTTTTTTTACTTTTTTGTACCAAAGCAATCATATTAATTACTAATTTTTATTAATAAATTAACATATACATATCAAGATTAATGAGCTAATTAGCTTAGTAATTTATTTAAAATGCATGCATATATTAATAAATGTATGTTCTTAAGTGTCTGTAGTTATGATTCAATAATTAAATTGATTAATAATAATTATGATTTAATTAGTGAAGTAACTGCAAACTTTCAAAGACAAGTGCAACAAGGGGGTGTGATGGCTATTTTTCCTTTCCCATATAAATCTATGTATTGACAGCAATGACAAACTAAATAAAAAGAGTTGAAAATAAAGAAGGGTTGAGGAAAGAAAGGGTATGGAGTCTATTACATCAGGGCACTAATTTACTTCAGGGGCAACAGGGTGGATTCTTTTGACTAAAAGCCGAATTACAA